CTGGCGGGTAGCAGGAACTTTGACCGGATACGGTACGCCTGATTAGGCGGCGCGAACACGCGCGAAAGCTGTTGCTTCAGCTGATCCCAAGTGGGAAATGCAGCGTCAACAGACGTGCCGCACGTTAGTGCCCATTCGCGAGCGCGACCTCCAAGCCTGGAGACAGCCAGCGCCACGCGCTGATGCTCAGACTGGAGCAGGGCCGATCCCATGGCCATCTCGACCTCACGGGTCCAGAGAAGGAGATTCTCTCCATCCTTCCCCTCGAAGGTTTTTACGCTCACCATGAGCGGTTTCAGTCTCATAGACTCTTCACGCGTCATCGACGCCGCCGCCGATGCGGCGCTCATCTTCTCTTGGACATGCTCCAAGAGCGCGTTCTCGTAGCGGGAGAACGATTCCAGCCTGGCAGTGACCGCCTCTGGACCTTGCGATGCAAGATGAGCCACGCCCTCCGGGCCAAGCAAGGACATAAGCTTATAAAGCGCGTCCTGCTGCGCCGGGGGCAAATTCGCGAACACGGGGTGTTCCATCCTCGCAGAGGATATAGTCAACCGACTCAGGAGCGGGATTGACTACAAGTGCTACCAAGTGCAGCGGGGCTGCCGTAGCTTTAGCGTCAGAGGAAGACGTTCGACTCAAAGAGTCACTAATACTAAGTTCCTTATCCAAAGGACACTTACAGCCCAAGACCAGGGCTCAAAGTTAACACCTTAACTTTTATGCTTCAAAACCAGAAGTGATTTATTTACTATTATTGCGGCCAAGCCGCCTAGGGGTAAATGTATCTCTTTAACTATCTAGCATAGTTAAACCTAATCAAATGCATAACGTGTGGCTTTCAGCCAACGTACTGAGAGACCTTGTTAACTCTCCAACTTATGTACTGAGAGTTTGTTAACTCGCCGGGTACTTCGTACCCCTGTGTGTTCCACACCATGTAACCCCGTTACAATGCTTGCTGGAACTCCGCCGGGATGGGCTGCGCGGGCACGAGCTATGTCGTCGCCTTGGTAGTCCTGGTGGGCCTCCTGCTCTGTTCCGCCTGGCTTCGAGCGCATGAACGAGAATACGCCTGGCCTTCAACCCGGGTGCAGCATTCCAATGACTACAGCCAGCGCCTTACGCAGCTCCAAGAGAGCTGGCGACAACGCAGCACTATCCACGCGAGACTGTTGGCGGTAGGAGTCGTCGCCACCTCCGACACGATTGAAAACTCCAGTGTACGTACGGGCCTTAGCTTCGGCTAGTAGTGTAGGTATAACGCGATCCGGTAGGACGAGGCCCACGGCCAGATATCCATTCGGCAGCAAGGGCCCGGTGACCGAGTTCATGAGTTTGCTTAGAATCTGAAAGTAAAACGTTTTTGTTTTTGCAACGGGAACGGTCGTTGGGACGGGAACGGTCTCTGCAACGGGAACGATCTATACTGGTATTTACAAGTATAGATACTGGTAAACTGTAGTTTTCCTTACTGCTCTTTTGTATGCGAGGGCCCTCCGGATGAGGGCCCTCGTTAGATTCTCCCCAGCCGGAAGTGCTGCATATAGGATGAGGATCAGCGTTCGGAGCCGGTGCTAGGTGGCCATAGCCCGGAGCAGGAGCCAGATGCTGCTGCATGATGATAAGGCAAGGCGGAGGGACAGGAGGAGCTTATGTATACAGGATGATACTGTGGTAATAACAAAATGTAATTCATGTACTGGTACTTGTACGAAGTCTGCACTGAAGTTCAGCTCCGTAATACGTAGTATACACTAGCGGCGGTACTGATACGCGGAGGCTATTGCATGTATTAATATACGTAGTACGTATTAATAGAGATACTTAATAAAATAACGCCGATCCGCCATTTTGACGTCAACCCTCGCCGTGTTGCCAGCCTGGCGACTTTATTACTTCCTACAAATTGCAGCTAATTAACTGATTTTAGAAAGCGCTAAATTAGTCGAATGTATCGATATGATTGCACTGGTCGGATAAAAAAAAAATATGCGTGAGATACGTCGGCATCTTATTTTGTAAGGGGAGATACATATTTTCCGTGCCCCTCGGATACGTCCGATGTGGGGTTTAGATGATCTACCCAACCCTTCTTGCATTTATTAGCCAGCACTGACACATTACTTGGATATGATTGGTTATACAGAACAGAATAATAAATGATTGGCCATCAGTGATGATACGAAACTTAAGAGAGGTCAGACAAGTGATGATATTCATTCATGTCGCGTGTTATGGTCTCGTCACACACGGTCACCAAATTAGTGTACCTTATATAGAAAAAATTGTTTAGACAATAGTTAATTGGAATCAGTAAGAGCGGGACAGTACCCTCGCTAATTACGCACCGCCTTGTAGACTCCATCTTCACGAAGGAGAGAGGGAGGTTCCTTTGACGATCCACTCGAGCCATGTGTGCCGATTAGATGCTTTTTGATGCACCCACGGAAGTAGCGTCCCCGTGACAGCGGTGCTGGAGGCCTCCATCTCGACCCCAACGTACACCAGATTGGTGTACCAAGTTTTGGGTGCATGCTTCCGTGTCTTGCCACAGGCCTTGAAGACTTGCAGACCAGTGAGGTCCCCGTCCTTGGTAAGATAGGGCTTAATGTTAAAGCAGGCGATCTGCTTTGGCGTGAACTTGCTCTTCGAGCGTGGCGTGGCGACAAGGGCATCAGACATGACGGTTGCGGCTAAGATAGGTTGGTAAATTTGCAAATTGCAGAATGAACATGAAAACGAGCAAATTGCAGAATGAACATGAAAACGAGCACTAGAATTCTCAAAACCAATTACCCAACCACTTGCCCAAGCAAAAATAAATAGTGTGTCGCCGTACACAAAATTCGGAAATACATCGAAATAAATTATTTATAGCAAAATTATAAATATATTATTAATAAAATATTTCTCGGGTGGCCCCAAACCCGATGCTTTACCGTACCAGACGTTTTTTGTTGTCTTTATAGTCCTAAATATTATTCATCTCCTCTGACAATTATCACTGCTATATTTCAGTAATTACGCTCTTGGACAGGAAATTTGTAAGCGAGTGACTCATCGAAAAGGATCAAAACGGCAAAAAAATTTGGTCAGAATTCACAATACTACGGTAGCTCGGTCGTTTGGTCAGAAATTACAATATTACGGTAGCTCGGTCGGATATGGAGCGCAACGGTGAGTGGCAAGCTCGAGGTGGCCGTGGCAATCGTGGACGCGGTGGTCGCCGAGGCCGGGGGCGGGGTCGCGGGCGTGGGGGACAAAGTGGTCGGTCGCCGCCTTCCAATGGATTTACGTCCTCCAACGGTCGAAACGCTTCGAACAGCTCGTCCGAGCCGGCCATCAGTCTGGATGAGAGCTTCACCATGGAGATCCACGCAGCTCTCCAAGCTCTAGTAGAAGACGGCGAGCGCACTGAGATGAGTTTTTCTCCCAGCTACGATAACACGCAGCGGCGCTATATCCATTCGATGGCGCAGAAGTACGGATTGTTCTCCAAGAGCTCGGGCAAGAAGGGCGCAGGTCGCTTCATCCACGTGGCCAAAGTCAAGAAGAACGCGGCCATGCAAGAAGTTTCACTGCGACTACCAGCTGCACCACTCAATGCAGCGACGGTCGAGTGGTTCCCGCCTGTAATTAAGACTTACATGGAGAGATATCCCGCTCCAACGGAGGAGGTGACTGTGGACCCTTGGAGCGCCAAGGATCTGAGTCCGTTGGCCTCTGTGCCAAAGAGACATCCTGGACGAGGCGGTGGATCACCGTTTAAGCCACTGCCGAGCCCTCCCAAGGATGTAGGAACCAAGGTTGTGAGAACTCCACTTGTGGAAGCAACCAAGCTGCCTGTATACGGATATCGAGAGCAGATTCTGGAGCTCGTGGAGAGTAATCAACTCGTGGTCTTGTCGGGGGATACTGGATGTGGTAAATCCACGCAGATCCCGCAGTTTCTTCTGGATGATGCACTAGCACGAGGACGTGGAGAGGAGACGAGGATCATCTGTACTCAGCCTCGTCGAATTAGCGCCATTTCGCTTGCGGAACGCGTTGCGCGTGAACGCACTGGCCAGGACCCGAAGGAAGTGGGTCATGCCATCCGATTCGACTCTTCTTTCGATGCAAAGCGATCCAAGTTGATCTTCTGTACGACGGGCACTTTACTCAAGTGGCTTAACAACGACCCACTCGCCAGAGGATTCTCCCACATCATCCTGGATGAAGTACACGAGCGTGACCAGTTTACAGACTTCTTACTCATCCTGATCAAGACTTCAATCCTCAAGCAGAGACCAGATCTTAAGGTGATTCTCATGAGTGCTACTATTCAGGTGGAGAAGTTCTCGCAGTACTTCCAGCCAGAGTTCCCGGCGCCAGTGTTGCAGATGGTGGGCGGTACTAACTTCCCTGTCACGACGCTTTATCTCGAAGATATTCTAGCGTTACTGGAGAGGGACCGAAGCTCCCCGTTGCCCATAATGGATGATTCACGCGTCGGACGAATCGGAGGCGGATCTTTCGGTCACGTAGCCACAGCACCTGCAAGTAACGGGCTTGAATGTCCCTTGTGTGGCGAAACGAGAATTGCTGACGAAGAAGCATTTGGAATGCACGTGGCCACCTGCTTCGGGGAACCTAGCGCGGATTTCGAAGCAGTAGCGGTGCCTGAACCCGAATTAGCTACTGTAGCAGTACCTGTTGCCGCCATGGGAGATGTTCTGCAAGCTGCACTGAGTGAGATTAATGACGACGCGAAAGAGGCACTGTTGTCATCCTACGTAAAGCAGCAAGACGCTCTGCGACAGGATCAAGCCGTGGATTATGATGTGCTGCTACAACTTCTCTTCCTTGTGAACCGTACATTTCCTCTAGATGAGGACGGGAAGGGAGCCATTCTCGTCTTTTTGCCTGGGTGGGAAGAGATCTCCTTCATGGAACGAGCTCTGCTCAATTCTCCAGCAACCTCCTCAACGTACGAGATTGCTCTTCTCCACTCTCGCCTCTCGGCTCAAGAGCAACGTCGCGCGTTCATGACTCCGCCACATGGAAAGAGGAAGCTGGTTCTGGCTACGAACATCGCAGAAACCAGTCTTACAATTGAAGATGTGGTGTTTGTTGTGGACTGCGGCAAGTCCAAACAGGCCCACGCGCTCGCTGCGACGTCGAGTTCGTCTTTTGTTATGGGACTGCAAACGACATGGGTGGCTCGTGCAAATTGTGTGCAGCGTACAGGACGCGCTGGTCGCGTGCGTGCTGGTATCTGCTTCCGTCTCTTCTCGAAGGCTCGATACGAAACAGCTATGAAGGAGTTCATGCAGCCCGAGTTACTGACGACACCGTTGGAAGAGTTGCTACTGCAGATCAAGCTTCTCCAGCTCGAGAAGAAGCTCCATATTCGAGACGCTAAGGAGTTTCTACTGGAGGCGATGGATGCACCCAGCGAAACCTCGATCGACGCGTCCCTGCAGCGCTTAGAAGACATGCGCGCTCTTGTAGGTATAAGTAAAGGCAAGCAGGCCTTGACGCTGCTGGGTTGGCATTTGGGCCACATTTGCTCGGGAGGTGTCTCTGTGCAGATGGCGAAGCTGCTGCTGTGGGGCCACACCTTTGGCTGTTTCGATGCGATCCTGCAGACCACGTGCACTCTGAGTGGCTATCGGGATCCTTTCATCAGTTTTCTCGGAATGTCACCAGAAGAACAGCGCCAGGTGGATGCTTCTAAGAAGGCATTTGCGCGAAATGGGTCGCCACCAGGTCTTACATTGCAGAGCGACCACTTTGTGCTTTGGAAAGCGTTTGAGGCGTACCTTGATGCTCGAGCACGCTCCTCTTTTAAAGCCAAGGATGCGTTCTGCGCTAGGAACAAGCTGCACCGACAGACACTTGAACAACTTTATTCAATTTACCGTCAGCTACAACAAGATTTGGACCAACTGGGGCTGTCGACTGCAACCCAGCTAGTGCCTACTCCTGTGTCGAGGATGCCTGCGACCGTGGAAAGTGTAACTCCGTACTTGATGGCTCTCAGTATCGGTATGTACCCCAACGCGCTATTTACTCGCTCCGGTGGGGTAAGTCGCAACTGGACGTCGAAAGAGAAGGTGAAGGTGAAGATGGACGGGACGTCTATGGTGGCATGGACCGCCTCGAATACCCAGAAGCATAAGCGGAAGATTGGCTCTGAGCAAGACGAGTTCGGTCCGCCGGATGAATGGCTCGTGTACCATGAAATGATGCAGTCCGAGCGTACCCGTCTTGCGAAATATGGTACCAAACTGCCATCGCAGTTGTTGCAGGCGCTTCTTGTGGGCTCAGTGGAGACGCAGACGGTAGAGCAACAAGATGTAGACATGGATGACACCGATGACGCTGTGGCAGCCAAGTGGCTGCTTGTGCTTGACGACTGGATCGTGTACGAGTTATGTGGACACGACGAAGCGCGTTGGCTTGCGCTGCTACGTGAGCGCTTACACGCTTCATTCATTCGACATTTGGAGCGTCTGCATGACAACGCTCAACACGGTTGTGCTAGACCATTATCAGGAACAGACCAGCAACTTCAGCAGCACGACGCAGAGCTCCTACAAGCTTTATCGGCCTGGATCTCTTCTGATCTTCACCGTGGAGCTAGACGTTAAGCTTAGAACATGGCGCGAGGAACGGTGTATTTTGTCCTATGTAGAATGTTCATTGTGACGAGAAGGATGATCGTCGTCGCATCCGCATCTGCAAGCTGTTGAGCACCTCCTTCGGTGCGGTAGGGTAGCCAGTATTCTTCGTCCGTAGTTGAGCTCTTCTGCGGCTTGAAGGAAATCATCAATGGAGAACTGATACTTGTGCAAATACTGCATCACACACGTGAGCGCTTTGCGTTTGCCGCGGTCGCCTCCTCCATACATGTCGACAATTCGACCTAAAATGCTCTTGAGCTCACCAAGAGTGTTGTGCAGTTCCGTGCCGTCTCCACTTTGTTCATGTTATCGAAGACGAACGCAAAGGTGGATTTTCGGAGCGACAGAGAGATCACGATCACAGCGATATCCCGACACAACGAATTATCCCCTTATTAGCGCTACAGCTGAGCATTTGGATAATTGATATCGGGTAGAAACTCGAGAAAGGATGGTCCGACCTCTCGTCGACGAACAATTCCGTTTACCTCATATGTAGTAGCTAAAAGCGATACTCACTAATTAATCCCAACTAAACTCGCTCGAGAAATTTTGCCGACTTGGAATACTCATGAACTATTGCAGCTACAAAGAAGTTATGTATTCAAGCACGGTTTTCGCCGTGATAGTCGGGCTTGAGGGAGCTGATTGAAGTATATCACGTACTGCGATCATTTCTGGAGGCATGTCAAATGTCAACTCTTCAACCAATTTTCCAAGCTGAAACAAGTCATGATGGAATCGTAACATTTCTCCTTCCCACTGATGATTCCACTATATCGCTGTCGTGTTGTTAAGGTGCGATTCGTCCATGTCGATCAGTACCCAGTAGCTTGGTGTGTCAGGCACGAACACAATGTTTCTCCAGCGTATATCGCCGTGACAATATCCATAGCTGTGCCAATACTTTACAGCTATCAGCATTTGCTGCAACCACTCCATAACTTCTTCAGCTCTAGGATACCGAAAGTAGCCGACTGGAAGCAATTCCACGAACAAACTGCCACTACGCGTCTGGATCATCGTGCGCACGGTCTGCAGGTGCGTAACGGAGCTCCCTTGCGCTCAGTTCTTTTAGCGCCGTATATACGTTGACAAGCCGCACGTGATCTTCACTATTGCTGCGAAAGACCGTCCGCTCAATCGCATCATCGACCAATATGATCGTTCGGTATTCATCGATATCAGTGACGAAAGGCACGAGATCACACGTAAACGGTCGAGTTGCCAAGTTCCCCATTTTTTGCAAAAAAATGCCAAGTTGTAAAACAACTTCAACGCGACTGTTTTATCCTGCAAGATGCTGAATTTGGGCAGTAAAGCCGTTGGTCGACAGGTTCGGCCGCTTTTTTCAATCGCAACTACTTGCAGATATTGCCCAGAGGTTGCATAGCCCAAAATGTATGGCAGATCACCGTAAAGCAGAACATTCCACTGGCACATCTTATTGGTCAGCTCTCTAGTCGACATCTCTATACTAGCCAGAGAATTCTTCTCTTCTCCACGCATCAAGACAAGACCATCGTGCTCGAGAAGAAAGTCTGGCCGGTTTCTAGGTTTGGTGCTTCTTGACTTGTCGACTTGATTTCTGTACTCGCGAACATCGAAACATTTTGCGCGGCACAGGCAAGTCGTAATCAACAGCAAAGAGTCATAGTATGCTTGCCATGAGTTCTCCGATGCCGTAGCGTCCGGGATTAGCGTGCACCGGGACAAAAAGGCGTTTATCATTCCCGTCAGTTGTGGGCATGATATGAGTTCACCAGTCGGTTCGAAAAGGCCTCTGGGCACATCCACCGAACCACCCAGAGCCAGCTTGAACGGTAGTGGCCGTTGAAGGAGCGCTTTTAGCTGGGATGTAAAAGGTAACGCTGGAATATCTAATTCTGAAAAACTCCACAGTTCCTGAAGAGACCGACCGTCAAGTACTTGCTGACGCAGGCTTGGCGAGACAGAGGTCGGAGCAACCACCAGGACGTGAACTTCATCCCCACTCACTTGAAATCCCTCACCGAAGTATTCGGCATTCTTGAGAAACCGCAAGGGCTTCATGCGATGAAAGCGTTGAGGGTATCCATACTGATCGAGCGCCACTGCTGATACGCCCTCCATATCTAGCCAGCCGCCGTCCTTCGCTAGAAAGAGGTCCAACTTGTACGCAGCGTCAGGGAACTTAAACTGGGCTGCGATGGCGCTCTGCAGCTGAGCGACCGTCGAGTTCTCGTCGAGAACGACAGTCGTGGCAATTTCGCTTCTAACGACAACACAATTTACTAAAAGGACAACCATTTCCGACTGATTGTGGAATGGCAGAAAGAAGACCTTTCTTTCAACCTGAATGAAGGGAGGCTTCGTTGTAGAGGTATGATGGTGTTAGAATCTTCACGTTAATAATCTAAATATTATTTTGCATTTTAATGCTTTTGTCCTTTTCACTTAGCTTGATGCTCGAATTAAAATAAATAGAAGTCGTTTTATTAAATCGTGGCTTATAAAAAGTACAAATCGATCATGCGAGACTGGCTGATAAATCGAGCAACGGCAGCCAAATCGACCGCTCGGGATCGATCAACCGCCACATCCACATCAATATCATGTACTTTTTGCCGTTTTGAAATGGTAATTCGATCACAGATAAAACTAATCGATGCCTGTCTCTTCCCATCTCATTTTTACACGCTCCGGCCATGATCGGATGCGAATGTTGGGGCAGTGCAGCGTTAAAAGTTGCCTCATAGTAGACTTGGCTGGCTCCCGAACTCGAATCCTGATTTCCTCCACGTATGTGTGCATTTCATCATAGATCGCATCCCACGTGAACGTCGGCGGCAGCAAAGTGTACATCTCAGAGCTGTAGTACTTTTTCACTGTGCCATTCGCCGTCTTCTGCAGCCGAACACGCACTGGTACTACTACCCCGACCTCCGCAGAGAACTCTTTAAACCACTTCACCAGCCACACGAGATCGATGACAGAAGCGTGCTTGTTCAGTGTGTTCCCGTGCGCCTTAGCTGCAATGTTTCCTTCGCGCACACGCTTCTTGTATCGCTGGATAGTCAAAGGAGTTACCCCGAGACATTCTGCAAACATGGGCCGGCAAACTCTCCCAACCAGTGGCAGGTAGTAGTGACATTTCTCGCGTTTTCCGTCTCCTCGGTGCCTCTCCACAGTATCCGTCTGCATGAGAACGCCCAGCATCGTGTAGAGGCTTGTCAACTTCTCTGATCTGGTCATCTGTGAGATTGAACACACGAGCCACTCAAGTTCTTGGGCTTTTCCCTGAAGACATCGGCGATCACACTTGTCGGCCTGAATTAGACCCGCCACTGTTTGTTGCAGACTCACCTCAATCAAATTGATACTTATGTCCTCCTCCTCTTCAGCTGCGTCGCTTACACCACTCTCACCAGTGCTTGCCTCCTCGTCTTCCTCTTCATCTTCATTGTCGTCACTCCAATCTTCGTCGTCACTGTCGTCAGCTTCCTCATCGCTCTCCTGTTCGTCTTCACTCCCTTCATCTGCTTCATCGCTGGCAGGCGACCCTTCCTGCTGGGATACTGTAGCGGAGGGCAAAGCGACACGAGGAGCCGTAGGTTGAGCGATACTTGTTAGGTCGGCGGTGGCCGTGTTTGTGTGCGCCCTGGTGTCGGCTGGCTGCTTCGTGGCACGGTGGGGGCCGTGCTCGCCCGCATTGACCAGGACAGGGGGAGCAGGGGGCGGCACTGGAACAGCGACGGCAGGAGCGGGTGCCGTCGTGTTGCTTTCGGTCTCGGGGCACTGCATTCTCGAGGCTGGAGTGCGCTGTTCGGGAATGATACACCTGCTTCAAATTTCTAAAAAACTTTGACGCTTGTTTTTTCAGCTACTCGATAAAGTGCGAAAACACGTGGGCGATCTTTAGACGCGAATATCTCGATGACTCCAAATGGTTGATTAGTATCATTATGTCTCGCGCAGTCTCATATAAGGTACACTAATTTGGTGACCGTGTGTGACGAGACCATAACACGCGACATGAATGAATATCATCACTTATCTGACCTCTCTTAAGTTTCGTATCATCACTGATGGCCAATCATTTATTATTCTGTTCTGTATAACCAATCATATCCAAGTAATGTGTCAGTGCTGGCTAATAAATGCAAGAAGGGTTGGGTAGATCATCTAAACCCCACATCGGACGTATCAGGTCCGAGGGGCACGGAAAATATGTATCTCCCCTTACAAAATAAGATGCCGACGTATCTCACGCATATTTTTATTTTATCCGACCAGTGCAATCATATCGATACATTCGACTAATTTAGCGCTTTCTAAAATCAGTTAAGTAGCTGCAATTTGTAGGAAGTAATAAAGTCGCCAGGCTGGCAACACCAGCTCTACGGCGAGGGTTGACGTCAAAATGGCGGATCGGCGTTATTTTATTAAGTATCTCTATTAATACGTACTACGTATATTAATACATGCAATAGCCTCCGCGTATCAGTACCGCCGCTAGTGTATACTACGTATTACGGAGCTGAACTTCAGTGCAGACTTCGTACAAGTACCAGTACATGAATTACATTTTGTTATTACCACAGTATCATCCTGTACACATAAGCTCCTCCTGTCGCTCCGCCTTGCCTTATCATCATGCAGCAGCATCTGGCTCCTGCTCCGGGCTATGGCCACCTAGCACCGGCTCCGAACGCTGATCCTCATCCTATATGCAGCACTTCCGGCTGGGGAGAATCTAACGAGGGCCCTCATCCGGAGGGCCCTCGCATACAAAAGAGCAGTAAGGAAAACTACAGTTTACCAGTATCTGTACTTGTAAATACCAGTATAAATCGTTCCCGTTGCAGAGACCGTTCCCGTCCCAACGACCGTTCCCGTTGCAAAAAAAAACGTTTTACTTTCAGATTCTAAGCAAACTCATGAACTCGGTCACCGGGCCCTTGCTGCCGAATGAATATCTGGCCGCGGGCCTCGTCCTACCGGATCGCGTTATACCTACACTACTAGCCGAAGCTAAGGCCCGTACGTACACTGGAGTTTTCAATCGTGTCGGAGGTGGCGACGACTCCTACCGCCAACAGTCTCGCGTGGATATTGCTGCGTTGTCGCCAGCTCTCTTGGAGCTGCGTAAGGCGCTGGCTGTAGTCATTGGAATGCTGCACCCGGGTTGAAGGCCAGGCATATTCTCGTGCATGCGCTCGAAGCCAGGCGGAACAGAGCAGGAGGCCCACCAGGACTACCAAGGCGACGACATAGCTCGTGTCCGCGCAGCCCATCCCGGCGGAGTTCCAGCAAGCATGGTGCTAGCTTTGCAGCCCAATACGAGGCTTCGAGTCTTCGACGGATGCTTCGCTGCCAGGGACGACAGCAAAGAGCGCATTGTGGAAATTCCCGTGGGATTTTGCCTAATCTTTAGAGGAGATCTCATTTACAGCGGTGTTTCTTTCATCAAAACTAACTACCGTGTACACTGCTATCTAAGCTACGACGACGTGCACTGGACACCTGATGTGGTCCAAAATGTTCTTCCGAGCCATGGTGTGTGTGGTTTCTGCGGTGTCAAGATGCTAAAAGGGCCTGGGCTGCGCAAACATCGGTATTTGTGTGAGCAGAATCCCGATGGAGCTTCGAACCGGTTGAAGCGAAAGCGCGAGGGCAAGGAGGGTGTCTTCAAATGCGAGTTGTGCCCCAACGTCGAATACCCCGTGGCGAGTAGTTTGAGTTCGCACAAGAGCAGAGTCCACGGTAGCGGCCAGTAGGTGGAGTAAATCTCATTACATCGCATTTGAAGGTTCATATTGCAAATTTCCTTTATTTTTTAAATTATTGGAAGTTGAAGTAAAATTTAAAGTTGAAGCTGCAAGAAAACATATATTTAGACGTATAGCTTCTGTCTGGTCTACTGCTTCTCCTTTGGCTGCTGGTCAGTAAAGGGGATACGGCCGGCAAAACCCCATGAACGCGGTGGTAGGAAAGCGTCCTCGAAACTCAAAATTACGTCTCCTTCGTGGATGCCGAACTGTTGCATATCAATCGGGGGCAGACCTACCATTGTAGGTGGAGTAGCAGGATGACTCAAATCCATGCGCTCACTGAAAGTTGGCTCGCGTCCAGTTCCTCTTTTGCCTTGATTCTTTCGATGCTGGGCTTGTCGTTTTCCCCTTTCGAATCGTGCGGATTGTAGCTGGTTCTTAAATTCTTGGCACAGTGTGCTTATCTTGATCCCTATAAATCCACCAATGCTTGTCGAAATCATGAGGAGCTAAGAACCGTTGCCCGTTGGACTCGACAATCGAAATTAACTCGTGCAGGCATTGTCTGCCGTGTACGACACGGAAAAAGCAAATTTTGCAGAGCTTGTTGATCTGAGGAAAGATGCGGATAAGATAGTAAACACCTGAGCACTTGCTACGCTGAACCCCGCTGTTTACTATCTTCTCCGCATCTTTCCACAGCCTCTCTGTTTCTCCAAGAGCTACTCGTGTGATAATACGAGCTACTCTGGAATAACGGTTCTTCTGGAATATGTGAGGTGCAGTGACTGCGTTTTGCTCCATAAGTAAGCGCGTCTCCGACGCCGCGGTCGTCCACCAACTCAGAAGCTTCTTAAACACCGTGTACAAATCTCCTTGACTCGATTCCACTTTGCTCTTGATCTTGGCATGCGTTCCTTCAACTGTGGAAGTATCGCGGACACCAAAGTGCATGTACTTGTTTGTACAGTGTTTGACAATCCTTGTCTTGTATTTCCACCAATGCAGATCGAGGTAATCTGACACTGGTTTGCACTTCTCAATTAGATCCTCACGCTTGGCATTGAAGTCGGCTTCTGTTTCGACGTCCACAGCCTCGTAGAAACTCGCCATAAATGAGTTCGTTCGCCAAGAATTCTCCTTCTTTGGTTGACCAGGAGCAGGGTTCTCAACGTCCACCTGACCTAAATGCTTTCTTGCCATGGCCTCGACATTCTTGTTCATGTGCCAACGGCAGACCATTGATGGAATACCTGGAAATACTCGGTCGAGAGCATTTAGACACGCCAGATCGCGGTCCGTCAAGATCACCCGCGCCGGATCGATATCGTTCTCGATCATTTACAGTCGCAGCATATTGAAAGCCCACACAAAATCTTCATCCTTTTCACCGGGGAGCCAACACTGCGCAACCGGAAAAACCGAGTTAGCCCCGGTGATCACGATGATATTGAGCAAGGGGAGGCGGTATTTGTTTGTCTTGTAGGTACAGTCAGCTACCAGAACGTCGAAGTGAAACTTGAACAGCGCAGTAGTCGCTGGGTGGGCCCAAAAGAGATGAGTGACTTCGTTTGTCTCGGGGTTAAGGCGAAACTTGTAGAAGAACTTGTGCTTAACGAGTTCCTGAAACAGGGCCTCAGTTGCCGCTCTAGATGCCAAGTCGTGTCGACGGCTTGCATCCTTGGCGTTAGAAATGTCCTTGGCAACGATGAGAGAGCGTGGGTCTGCGCTTAGAACGGTTGAATGAATCGTCGAAGGCGTGGCCCCGGCTGCTGTCTGAAGCTCAACCAAATCCAGAGTGTGTGAGGCCAGTGGTTGTGATGTTGCTTGGATGGCCCGACGCCTATGCTGCGCATGTACGCGAACATCCCGCGAAGGTTGATGGTTATGATGCGTGCTTCGAGCAGTACGAACAATCTTCCACTGGCCGGCAGTGTCATCTTTATCTACAGCCCTAATCCCTATCCGCATCGGGCAAGCCGAGCGCTTCGATCCCCGTAGCGTACGCTTCCGATCATGCTCGGTCAGGTGTTGTGTGTTCTTAGAGGCCCCTGCACGGTCACACTCGTAGTTACGAGCCCAAATTTCGCGTTCGGGGCCACCCTTGTACCGAACACGTTGGCGAGAGACGTTAAAGCCGTGATCTAGCGTCCACTGGTGCAGCGCGGCTTCAGCGGCATCGTGAGAGCTGTAAGTGGTCTCTGGGGGCGGCTGAATAGCGTGAAGGGGGAGGTTGTTGCCGCTCATGGCTAATCAAATTGTATTTGGTGACCTTTCGTTCGTCTATAATCTTCGTCTACAGCTTACAGCCATTCGTCTACACGAAAGTACCGGTTTATACCGGTAGGTACATCACAATCACACATGGACCTTTTGTGCGAGGGTTCTCCGGATGAGGGCCCTCGTTAGATTCTCCCTTCCGGCTGGAGCAACGCCACGCTGATCCGCACGCATCCTTCTTGCCCTTGGTAGTCGCATCCTCCTCCTCATCCCGCTCATTGACGTACCCATGTTCCAACCGTGAGCTTCCACGACGATGCACCAGAGCTCCGTCCACACCGCAGCTCTGCCGAGCAACGCGCCGACCACGTCCATCTCGGTCATCGTCATCGCGCCGTGTCGCCCTCCCAGTTCCTCACCGCCATCCACTCGCTTCCGCCATCGTTGCTCTCTCCGCTGCTGGTCACTCGCCACCCTTCCACTGTCACCACACTTGGTCACCGCCACCCTTGCGCCCGTCTCCACGCTCGCTCGCCGCTGCCTTTGCTGCCGCCGCACCCGCCGCCATCCGCTCGCACGCCGGACCCTATTATTATAAGTTTTGCCTTTGTGGCCCACAACATCTAGACTTTAGATTTATATATTCCTTTTGAGTTTTAATATTATGTACCATATATTTGGTACAGGTCCGATAAGGTCATCCGGTCCGATATATTATGGTGTGGAGAGCGTCACAAAAGCGGTCGAGTGGAGCATCGGCGATGAACTCCCGAAGCGGTTTATGGGCAATTCTGGACGGATGGACTCACG